TTACCAATCAATCACAAGTTCACAATACATTCATCTCCCTAGACCACAATCCCCTGAAAACGGAGAGAATAGCAATGTCCTTAAGAACAAGGATCTCTGCTCTAACAAAATCTACAACACCATAAATCTCAAAAACAAAAGGAACCTTGCTAGTGATCCTCAAGGCACCTCAAATTCCTGAAAGCTTTTTTTTATGATAATCAAATGGAAAGCAATGTCTTCTGATCCATTTGATACTCTGAAAAAACATCCATGGCAGAAACCAATGGACCCACTTTCTTTTTTTTATCAGAAAAAGGATTTCACTAATAAATTAAAACTTAATACAACTGACACACCCTGGCCACAAGAGTTCACAAACTTGCCCAGAATTAGTTAGGTCTGTCAACTTCCTGTTTAGCTAGAACATCTGCACCCCATTTGCAGCTCTTCTCACCCAGCTGAAACTAGAATTTAATCGCTTTGCAATTACATCAATTTCCATAAAATCACGTCTGTATTTCCGTGGTGCTGATTTGACTTGCTTTGCCCAATGAATGACTAGTTGTGAATCTCTTCAACTTCCAAGTCTCTGAGACCAAGCTGTAGTGCTAATCTCATTCCTTGTAAGAATGCCAAAATTTCAGCCTTGACCAAGTCTCCTAAGCCAATTGGACCTAAATGACATCACTACCACCAATCCTTGGTGATCTCTAATCACTCCCCCAATGCCTGTTCTTGGATTGAACATAGAACTGCCATCAAAGTCCAACTTCAGATTATTTACAGTTGGGGGCTTCTAGTTCATTCTCACCTCTTCACTGTGTCTACCTGTTTGTATTTCTTCAGGCAAAGTTTTAATAATGTCATTGACTGAAAAGTCTTTGAATAACTCCAAAGTTTTTACCCGATGTGCAGTTCTCACTTAGATGGCTTCAGTTAGCTCCTCCTTGGACCTGTTTTCATTGAAGAGTCTATTGTTCCTTTCTTTCCGGTCTGTCCTAAAGTTTGCATGACAGTCAAAGAGAGGATTTGAAGTCATCATAATTATCATCATCCAAGCCTTATCCTGACTATATGGGGTCAGCTACATAAATCCTGTTTCACCATTCTGTTCTGTTTCATGCCATATCCATTGTTAAATTATCAGCGCTTAAAATCATTGCTTACTACTTCTATCCATGCCTTTTTTTGTCTACCCCTAGCCATTCCTAGCCCCTTCAACTTGCAACAAATAATTTCTTAAAGGTGTTGTTGATGGTCTTCTAAGCACATGACCAAGTCCAAACCATCTAAATGGACTTTCTCTCATTTTATCACCTATCGGAGCTACTCCTAGTTTTTTTTTCTTTTTTTTTTTGATAAGCTACTTCCTAGTTCCTTCAAATGATTTCATTTCTTATCATATCCTTTCTAGTTTTTCCACTCATCCAACTCAACATGCACATTTTTTCCACACTTAATTTTTGGACATGTTGTTTCTTGACTTCCCAACACTCTGCCTCATACAACATAGCTGGCCTTACAATTGTTTTATAGAATTTTCCTTTTAATCTAAGGCCTCATTTGCGTCTCAGTAAATGACATACCTGAGTAAATGCACTTATCCAGGCAAGTGTTTCCTGGGAAATACTTGCCCAGATAAGAGCACTTCCCAGTGTTCTTTTATTCCCCAGGTAAAGGTGTACAATGACTGATTTATCCAAAAAGGTGACATTATTGAAGGGACAATATTGTCCCATCATTTATTAGCGATTTTCAGCACGCATGGGCAAGGTTCAAAGTATCAATACAATATGCCCCCGTATAGGGCGTATCATATCGTATCTTTTGGTCTTGGTACACCTATTTACAGGTGTTTCGAGACCTTGGTTTATTTCAATAAAAAACCATTAAAAAACGTCTTTAAAAATCATATTTTGAATGAAAAAACAAAAAAAAAAAACATTGAGCATGTGTTGTTAAGTACCAATACACCCTTGCCGATACACAGGGGCGTATCGATACTTTGAACCATGCACATGGGTAGGTAATTTACCCAAGTTTGAGGACAGTATTACTTCCCCAGGTAAATGAGTCTCTTGGGAATCATTCTTTTCCGTGGGACCCACACATACCGAAAAACGAACTTGGGTTTATTTCTTTTCCATGGACCTACCAACTTACATGCCCCTACTTCCCGAAAAACGAACGAGGCATAAGTGGTATTTTCTTATCACATAAAACTCAAGATGCACCCTCCATTTTGTCAACCCTACTCTAATTCTATGGCAAGCATCCTCCTCAATCCCTCCCTTGTTATGAACTATCAAACCAAGGTACTGGAAAAGGTCACATTAAGTTATCTCTTGGTCTCCAATCCTAAGTGTGCCTTGATTTGCACTCCTATTATTATTAAATTTACATATCATACATTATGTTTTAATCCTACTTATTTGAAAACTTCTTTCCAAAGCATTTGACTATAAGCTTAATTTTTCATTGAATCCTTCATTAGTTTCATCAATTAAAACAATGTTATCAAAAAACAACATGCAATATGGGTCCTCCTAAACATGTATAGTCAATTTATCCATGACCAGTACAAAAATACATAATGGCTAAGTGCTGAACTTTGGTGAAGACCCATTGTAACTATAAAATCTGATGTTTCTCTCATTTGTGTTCTGATATTGGTTGTTGCACCCTCATTGTATCCTTAAAAGAACGGTCCAGTGCACAAGGCTCCTGCCAATGTGGGTCTGGGGAGGGACAGATGTAAGCCTTACCCTTGCACATACAAAGAGGCTGTTTTCAAGATATGAACCCTGGTCACCCAGGTTGCAATGGAGCAACCCAACTATTGCGCCAAGGCCAACCCTCATACGTATCCTTAATTAAGTCTATATAATTATTTGAAACCCCTTTCCTTTTCAAGACCCACCATATTATCTCTCTAGGAACTCTATTGTTTTCTAGGCTAGAGATATCAGAGGAGAGGAAGAGAGGATGAAGAAAGAAGAGGAAGAGAGAAGAGAGAAGAGAGAAGAAAAAAATGGATTCTAAACTTATGATTGGCGGTGCCAGCTATTAGGTTTTATACTAGAGCGACCCAACTAATAATAAAGATAAGAGGATTTACAAGAGTGCCCTTGCGGCACTAAAGAACAAAATAAATAAATAACTGATTTCAACATTCCCCCTCAAGTTGGGACATAGATATCAATCATGCCCAACTTGTCACATAAATCATTGTGTTGCAGATGATGTAATCCCTTGGTAAAGATCTCTACAAGTTGATCTATGGAACTGACATATGGAGTGCACACTTCCCCATTTATAATTTTTTTCCTAATAAAATGCTTGTCAACCTCAATATGTTTAGTTCTATCATGAAGCACTGAGTTGGCAGCAATGTTGATAGCAGCTTTGTTATCACAATACAAGGATATGGGGCCATCAACAGGAAATCCCTACTCATTCAACAAGTTCTTTATCCATATAACTTCAGCCACTCCATGGGACGTTGCTCTACATTCAGCTTCAACACTAGACCTCGCCACAACATTCTATTTCTTGCTTCTCCACGTGACAAGGTTTCCTCCCACAAAGGTACAATACCC